CACAAACGCACTGGAATACATGACCTAGATATCTATTTTTGTTGTAAGTTCCATAAAACTCTTACTGTCAACAAAGTTCTAATTGTTAAAGACCCAAGCAGCTTGTTGATGGTCATGTCATAAAGGAAAAAACTCGGAATGAGAGCGACATCACGTCACAATTAATTAATTTAATTATATTTTTAAAAAAAACCCATTTCCATTTGGGAATCGAACTCACGTCTATTGTGACGATGGCAAAAAGCCTAACAGTAACAGAACAAAAACAAACTTTGATTTTCCAAACTTCAAACATTGGTGACTTTAGAACTATTATTATAGGTGAGCATTTTACGTGAACCTCTAAAAAAGTGAAACATTTATAGCTCTATAGTAACATAAAATATTGGCAACAAGACCCTGTCCGTCTGGGTCGTACCTACTTTGTGTATTGTCCTTAAACTAAAAGAAAAGAAAAAAACCTTGAACAAAAACAAATTTTAACAACAGAGAACTTAACTGTCTGAAACCGGACATGTTGCGCTGGAATTGTGAGGTGTGTCCAGCCTTCGCTGACGTTATATAACAGGGCGTGTGCCTGTCTGAGTGCGGATTTCGTAACTCTCCCTGCTACCTTTATCTTTAAACTCTTATTTTCAAGAGTTGTTCGTGGTCTCGTGTGACGTCAGAGTGGTCAGGCATCACGGATGTATCCGCACGGACTGTTCTCTCAGGTGATTATAAAAACACCCAAACTGTTGGACTGACCCATCAAACGTCACAGTCGACAAGGTAAGGATACTTTCTGCTGTGGAATTAATCTGATTGCGTGTTATGAAACATATTTTTAATTGTCTATGCTTACTCGAATAGTGCAGAAAAAACTCGCTCTTTTTTCTAACTTAAAAGGAAAACATTAGTGTACATAAAAATTAATTGTTATATTTTTCCTGTTTTAAATCTAGGTGGTGAACAGAGTGACTGATCTGGAGAAAGTCAGCGGCTCGTTTAGTGTCCCGTTGTCTTTTTTTTCTCATTCATCATGATATATTTTTCTTTAAGTCGGATACTTGATGCCTGCAAGTTTGATCATGTAGTAGCCACCTGTGACAGAGTGTAATGTTTCTTTGGTTTAGGCCTCTTAGCACCTGTCTGTCATACTTTCAGGTTAAACTTTTCTCTTAATTTGAATTAATTTTAACCTGCAACAAAAAGTCGCTTCGCTTCACATTGGCATGAGATATGAGCTAAAAGAAGTAAGGACATCAGCAGAGACATTTTAAACATATGTGACAAAACAGATATGTGTTGAAAAAAGCAACAACTAATGAATGAACAACTGAGGATCAAAAACATAATTGAAGTTCCAGTTTGAAGAAATAGCTATATTTTTCTTTAACGCAGTGTTATAAAAATGTAAAAAGCAAGGAGTCCAAATACAAATTTGCTTACAATTGTTTTGAAAAAAAATGGCGCTTTTTTAATCGAACAAACCAGAACTTTGAATTATCAGTGAGTTGTGGATTATCTATGAAGCCTAATTTCCCTTGCCACCCCACACAGAGAGCATTGGTTTTATACAGGTATTTTTTGTGGTAACCTCTCTCCCAAGCAACAAGGCTGCGAAGGCAGTTAGTTTCATATAAATCACAAGGCCGATCTGATGTAGTGGTCATTCTTTCTCTTTCTTTCCTTTTCTTTTCAAATTCCATTCTTTTTTCTCCGAGAACCAGATCGGAAACAAACATGGACGTTCATGGTTCGCCACTTATTTTTTCAGCTCTATTAATCTCTAAATAACAATGTAAATCGGTTCGAGATCCCAAAGTAAATTTTTGATCTTCGTCTGCCTCTTTTACCTTCTTCGTTTTATCTTTCCAAATACGGGGTGCCCACTACGAATGGGATCGGCCGATGGGGCCCATCGCCCGACTCGATCGCCTCAAAAACAAACGTGTTTGTTTCCAGTTTCAGGCGATCGAGTCGTGCGATCGGCCCGATCCAGCCGTAGTGGGCACCCCGTATTACATTGAGTACACATAATCGTCTAATCGCAACATTGGCGTCCACAGATCTCACTCCTCCCGTCATCATGAAATACGCTATCGCATTCCTTTGCCTCGTCCTTGCCGCGTCGGCCCTTGCTGAGGAAAAAAGATTCATCATTGACGACCTCGAGAAGGGTGAGGAGACGACTTGTTTTGATATCATGTATAGCAGTTTGGCTTTAATAAATAGGTTTATGTGTGAATCTTTGCTGTAGTAGTTGTTGTTGTTGTTGTTGTTGTTGTTTTTGTTGTTATTGCTGTTGTTATTGTTGTTGTTGTTGCTGTTGATGCTGTAGGCACAATGTTGTACAGGTGTTGTTGTTGCTATTATTGTGATTGTGGTTATTGTTGTGGTAGTTGTTGTGGCTGTTGTTGATGGTAAAATCGATTTTCCTGTTGTTGTTTTTCTTGTTCTTGTTTTTTGTTCTTAAATAATTCTCGTTCTTGTTCTTGTTCTTGTCTTGTTTTTCTTTTTTCCCTTGCTCCTCCCACCCTCCTTCCCTCCCTCTAATCCTACTCGTCCTCCTCTTCTTCCCCCTCGTTCACCACCATTCACACCTCCCAAATTTCTTCCCCCTTCTCTTTTCCCACAACCTTCTCTTCCTCCAACTCCTTCTCCAACTCGAATCCCCCCACACCCACTCACCAACTCCCATCTCCACCCCCTCTCTCCCAGAGGCTGCTAAGATCTTGCAATGTGAGGCTACCCTTAACCAGGCAGTATGTGAGGACTGTTGTGCATCCACCCAATGGTACCACCCATCCGAGGGCACAGCCTGTACTAAAGCCTGTGGCATTTTGCCCTGAACACCGTGTGAGTTTTGCTCATAATTTCTTCCTCTACTTCTTCTTTTTCTTCTTCCTCTTCTTCTTCTTCTTCTTCTTCTTCTTCTTCTTCTTCTTCTTCTTCTTCTTCTCTTCTTATAATCACTATTATTATTAAGGGTCGAAGCTTCCATTTTTTTAAACAGTGAAAATGTTTCATAACAAAGAGTGAGCTTAAGAAGAAGTCACATTTTCATAGTTTAAAAAATGGAGATACGACAAGAAAGCACTGAGGTCGCGCATTTTCAACCACATACACATGGTTTTCCATGTATATATCTTTCCGAGAAAGGCTGCTTTAAATAGAAATACATGTCTCTGCGTTACATGATGTATAAAGAGTCGAAATTCCTCAAGACAGCCTCCCAGTGTCGAAAAGAAAGGTGGTTGTCTTAAACAGATAGCTGTCTTGGACAGTGTATTTATGTTCTAGCATCCTTCGTTTATTTATATCTATTTTTATTTGTTTTGAGTTTCTATTTATTATGGTTACTTATTTAAATGCTTGGACATCTTAATATGTTAGTGGATTTTTATTCTTTTTCCCAGGAAGCTTGTTAAGCTGAGAGAGCAGACATCCTGATACAAGCTGTAAGATCAATGAACGTGTATTCATGTCTTGCCACGAATAAACGTAACGGGAGGGGAAAAAGTCCGACCTACATACGTTTCTTTGTTATTTATTTGATAGATTAATCTGTGTATGTGTTGTTTAAATGATAGATTTATTAGTGTTTTTTAAGTTTGATTTACTGATCTTTCTGGCTTGTTTGTTTGTTCGCTCGTTTGTTTGATTGTTATTGTTTTTTTTACCTTCATTTCTTAAAAAAATATTCTATTATAAGATTGGGGTGGGCTGGGCTGGGGTGGGGGTGGGGAAATAATTTTGACATCAAGGTCTTTGATGCCTTCTTGTTTTATTCCATTATTATTTTAATGGACAACGGGATGTCTTAAACAGATGGTCAGAATACATAGAAGAACTTTTCAAAGATAATCGAGGAGAAAAACCGTTAATAAAGAATGAAATAAATGGACAACCAATACTGAAAGCAGAAATACAAGCTGTCATTAGGAAAATGAAATAAGCAAAAGCCACAGGGCTAGATGACATTCCAGTTGAAGTGATTGTCGCGCTTGAAGAACTAGGTACTGAAATAACAACAAAGCCACTAAATTCTATTTATGACAGCGGTGAGATCCTAGAAGATATGATGAAGTCAGTTTTTATAGCTTTACCTAGAACACCTGGTGCCACTGAGTGTGATATGCATAGAACAAATAGCCTTATGAATCATTTTACAAAAATATTGCTTTGAATAATAATGGGAACATTGAGAAAAAGCGTAAGACCAGATATATCTAAAACGCTTTTCGGCTTTGTTCCTGACAAGGGCACCGGAAATGCTATATTCACCTTAACAATGTTAATGGAAATATGTTTTGAAACACAGAAAGATCTGCTTTTATGCTTCATAGATTACTCAAAGGCGTTCGATAAAGTTAGACATGATGAGCTATTCAAAATACTGGAAACGCTAGACAATAATGGAAAAGATCTAAGAATTATCAGAAATTTATACTGGAACCAAAACGCTGCTGTACGAATTAATGGAGAATACAGTGAATATAAGCAGATTAGGCGAGGAGTGAGGCAAGGATGTGTTTTGTCACCAGACCTCTTTAACATGTACAGTGAAACAATCCTTAGAAACATAGCAGAATGTTAAGGTCTCAAAGAAAATGGAGAAAATATTAATAACATCAGGTACGCGGATGATACAGTTTTAATAGCAGGTTCAGAAAAGGACCTTCAAGCTTCTAGATATTGTTTTAACAGAAAATGACGTAAAGGATTATTGTTGAATGTAAAGAAAACAGAATTCATGGAAATATCCAAACAAGCAGCAATAAATCCTAGTTGTAATCTCATTAGCAAAGGTGAAAAGATCAAACAAGTCCAACAGTTTAAATTTCTAGGATATATGATAACATCTGATGCCAAATGTCCCACAAAAAACCCCGGAGAATTACAATGGCCAAGGCTAGTTTCAATAAAATGAGCCCATTCCGGAAAAATAGAAACATCTCAATGTTCATCAAAATGAAAGTTCTGAAATGCTATCTTTGGTCAACCCTTCTATATGGCAGTGAATGCTGGACAATCACTAAAGACAGTGAAAATAAAATAGAAACAACAGAAATGTGGTTTCTTAGGAGACTGCTAAGAGTATCGTGGAAGGAAAAGAAATCAAATGAGGTAGTGCTTGATGAAGCCCACGTGGGACGCTCAAAGTTAAAAACAATCAAGAAACGACAAATGCATTTTTTGGAACACCTGAATAGACATAAGGGTCTGGAACATATAGCTCTCACGCGCAAAATTGAGGGCAAGCAAGGCACGGGTAGGCCCAGAACAACCTACCTAGGGAATCTAAACAAATGGGTAACAGGGAACAATCAGGGAAACGTAGCTTTTTTGAGAGCATCCGAGCTAAGGAATGAATGGAGAACCATGCTCGCCGATGTCTGTCACAGATCTGGCTCTTGATGATAATGATGGTGATGTTTGCTGATTGTTGTGTGGATGTTTGGTATACAATTATTTCACTGTTTTATTGGTAGACGATTGAATTTAGTGGGAAGTGAAAAGCAAATAGTGTGTAAGATGACGAGGCGACAAAAGAAAGAAAGAGGCACAGTATGTAGAGAAAAAATAATATCATCGCAGGAGATGACGACAGAGGTAGATACAACGAGAAACAGAATTGCACTCGCTCTCTCTCTCTCTCCCTCTCTCTCTCTCTCTTTCTCTCTCTCTCTCTCTCTCTCTCTCTCTCTCTCTCATTTTCTCTCTCTCTGTATTTCTCTCACATTCTCTCTCCGTTTCTCCCAGTCTCCATTTCACATACACACATCCAAAGTAATCCCCCCCTTCCCCCCCCCCTCCCCACACACACACACATACACACAAAGATAGAAAAATAGGAGGAGACTGATGGAAAAACAAAGACATAAAGACAGAAAGAGGGAAAGAGAGAGAGAGAGAGAGAGAGAGAGAGAGAGAGAGAGAGAGAGAGAGAGAGAGAGAGAGAGAGAGAGAGAGAGAGAGAGAGAGAGAGAGAGAGAGAGAGAGAGAGAGAGAGAGAAATGCACACACTACTATATTTTTTTTCTACCCAGATTTTGGGGCTATCCCTGATGCTTTGAGATACAACGTCCATTGTAATAATAATATTATCATTATGGATCTATGAACATAATAAATACCATGGATAAAGTCCCTGTATTTGGATTTGAACCAATGTCTTTTACGCAAGGCCACTATGATCCTAACTACTACATACCAGACACTGGTCTTTTTGATAATGAAAGTCGTAGTATGAAGTTTTTTCTGGTTAAGATTTAATTTGATTGATTTGGTGGATATATTTTGCACTTTTCAGGGATATTACTATCTATTTCCAGGAGAGCATGTGTGACCTATTTGCCCTTGGGTTCACAATGAGCACAATAAAATTCCCAATACTACAAAGTATTACTCTGCCATATAACTTAGTCAAATTAAATATCACTCATACGTCAATCATTTGAAATGTGTCTTTTTTTTCTGTGCTTGAAACCAAATTTACTAGTCCGTTATTGTAATTTATCAAATAAAAGAAAATCCCATTGTTCTCAAAACTATCTAAAGAAAAAACCCCAGTTACTTTTTCCCTCCTCAAAAATATCGTATTTCCACACTGTAGACATACTGCACTTAGAACATCCGTTCGGGAAGAGAAAGGCAGTTGTCAAAAATATCATGCCCACGTGAAATAAAGGCATTTGTCCAGAATTGAAGAACAGAGAAAAACAATAAGGTTAAGTCACATTTACCTAAAAAAAAAAAAATAGAGTTCAGCATATCGTTCGAAAGCGGCAATAAAGGACTATATTAGTAGCACTGAAGAAGCGCTATTCTGTTCTTTCGCCCAGTAATTCTTGTTAAAAGATGAGAGAACTAAGTGAAATAACAAGGTCAAATTCAGTAAAAAGTCTGTGTAAGCCTTCCAATCGAAACTTACTTGTATGTTTTTCACGAATGAGGTTTTTGCTCATTTTCTCGAAATCATCTAAACCTGACTGTACATTTAGTATTCATTTTTAGTCTTCAAATAATATAGCCTTTGTCGAAGAAGATTTCAGGTTGTCATGGTGATTGTTTCTAAGGATCACTTGTTCTGACGATGTCGCTGTTCGATTCTGCCTTGCGTAGCCTGTCGGGCTTTGCTCAAGCAGATGTCTGTTGTCATGGGTCACATCTTTCATGACGTAAGGCATGTTTCCATTCGTTGAACCCTTAGTAGCTGGCATGGCGGTTACATTCAGAAACAGATGCGTTCATTGTTTTATCAAAGTCGACGTGATAATTGTGTTTTGACAATACCGGGATAGTTTTTTGTCTGTCTCCTCCAAAAGTCCGTCTGAATGACGCACAGAGGTCAGTCCAAAAGCGTCAAAGTTTAGACAATCGAACTTTACGAGCAGATAATGGACGCACGCAGTAAAATAGAGGTTGCTTTTTTGCCTCAATCGACACAATGCAGATTACGGCATATAATTCAAATAATACTCGTATATTACGATTGTTACTACTTCAACAGGTGTTAACCTTGATGCAAATAAATGAATTGAGAAAATTATGAACCACCATAATATTCTCCACAAACAGAAATATTTCAAGAATACGTCAGTTCGGGACTAGACCGGTGCAATAATCTGTACTACACTTTAAACGATAAACATCAGCTTCTTTCTACTTCTTTTAAAGGGATTTTAGGTAGAAAAATAGGGTTGGCTTCCAATCATAAAAAGCAATATTTTCTCTTTGTCTTTATTAAATGAACTTAAATTTTACTCGTAGCTAAATTACAGTGCTCATTCTCACTTGAATCAGAATTTAAATAATTATAAATGATAGAATTACGTATGACATGATAATGTTCATTTATAAATTGATTGAAAAAAGTAGGAATACAAATTGTGTGTTTGTTCTTTTGTTTGTTTGAAAAAAGAAGAGCCCATTGATAAAAAAAATTGCCATTTAGAACTGGGAAGTTAAAAGTAAGGCAACGCAAGGGTTTGACTTTTTAAATTAATATATTTTATCATAATGTATAACATTTTTTTCACAATGTGTGCGCGCGCGCGCGCGTGTGTGTGTGTGTGTGTGTGTGTGTGCGTGCGTGTGTGTGTGTGTGTGTGTGTGTGTGTGTGTGTGTGAGCGTGTTTTATGCCTATTAACATCCCTTTGCCTTCAAAATAAACACATACTCTTAGCAGTCAAACCTAATGGTGCCATTCGTGGTCGTATGTTATCTCTTGGGGATAGAATAGTGGAGTAATTATTGATATTACATTTTGTGCACTTAATTCTCACTGGTCTGTCTTCTCCTCCTCATTAACCGTAGCCAATAAAATGTACTAGCTCTTTCGAGATGTGGGGATTTTAATGCCTGTGAGGTCTGGGTTGTCGTTGGACGCAATTTGGTCTCTGGTCCTCCAATCCTGCTTAAGTAGGTACTACTTTGTGCGTATATACGTATGCATTATTGATGAATTCGCTGCTGATATTTTAAGAAGAGGCGACCTTGTAATTCCCAGGTCGACTGGGAATGATTTTTCAGGCTTTTTACACTCTGCGACGATCAGAGAAGTACCTCGGGATTTGTAGACAGCGATAACTTGTAAGCACACAATCTACCCTATACGGTATAATAGTTTATGTTTTTTTACGGAACACAATCGCATTGACAGTTAAAAGTACTACAAAGGTTATTGGACAAACTCGTGAAACTGTTTTGAAATTTTGATAGCATACAAGTAGGGCAACTTTTACTTTTACTTTACTTTTCCAATCCAGCGGCCATATGGGTTCTAGCCCTTCGGTCTGTCGATATGGCAAAGAATTTGCAGGTTTTAATCAGCTGTGCTTTGT